TTGCAAGAGTTTGATCCGTGGGGGCCTTTGGTGTGATGGCTGTGAAAGATCTGCAGGAGTGACTGTATATAGAGAAGTCTGTAAAGTGTGAATTTCCCACTCTACTTTTCTGATTTTTGTGTTGTACACTGCTATAGCAAAATCTCCACAAAAAGCAAACCTGAGCAGGTAATTTCCTAATGTGAGGTCATGGGCTTCCTAGGAGTGAAAAGAACTGTAAGTCTTCAGCTCTGAATTTCCTGGAGGGGTTGTGAGTGTATCGTACTGCTCTGTTGTGTTTCCATGAACCTGTGGATGTTTTATGAAGGTGATGGTCTAAGAAGAAAAATACATATTAAATTTAAATTCATCACTTTAAAATTTGTTATTCTTTAATAGAGGAGGTATTTTGCATTTTCAAATGCTTTTCGATAGTTTGCTGTACATGACAGCATTATTCTACATTTACTTGTGAATACATAAATGGTATTCTATGGATAATACGTCATAGCCAGTTATTCGAAGAGGAAAAAAAATCTTAAATAACAAAACTCACCTAAGATGCTTCAGTTCCTGCCTTTTACGCATGTAGGCTTTACAAGAGATCAACCAAATGAGACTGTGTTTGATTTTATGGACTGCAGCCTTTCTGACAGCAGGACAGATCCCTTTATTTCCTCTTTATTTCTGAATGTTCATCAAGGGAAGTTTCTAAAGTGGTATCCTACTGATGTATATAAAAAAATAAAGTGATATTACTGGGATAGGTTTTATTTGACACCGTAAGTGGGCTGCATGGGTCTTTCTGGTCTGTTGGGGTTTTCTGTTGTTCACTGTAGTAAACTGAAACCATTCTGCTATTCTTGGAAAGCTGGCTGTGCTCTCTTGTAATGTCTTTGTATTTCTATGTGTTTTGACAGGGGCAAGTCTTCCAGAACTATCACTTTTGAGCAATTTAAGGAAGCTCTTCAAGAACTCTCCAAGAAGCGATTTAAGGACAAGAGTGATGAGGAAGCAGTTCAAGAAATATATAAACTAATTGAAGGAAAAGCCCCGATTATATCTGGAGTAACGGTACGTTGCAGATCTAATGGATAGGTGGTTCTGACTGTCCTCTGTTCTACTGCAGTGGTGTTCTGTTCACCTGCTTCCCTTTACAATCCACAAATCCCTCCAGCCTGCAGGCGACGGCTGTGCTGAGCTGAGCGGGAGCAAAGGGGATGCAGCAGCTGAGTACGGCGCTGCTGCGTGTCCTGGGCTGGCTCTGTCCTTGCCTCTGCTGGGAGTCAGAGTACCACCTAGCAGCTCTTGTGTGTGGTTAGAACATAGAAATGTTCATCAAGAGTCGTGTGCCCGAATCAAAAAGAGAAGAAGGGAATTAAATTGAGAACCTCATTAAAGAGTTCTTAGGTAGTGTGTGAAATACCAAAAAGACTAAAGCAAAGACGTCTTAAAATGCATTTAATACACCGTGTGAATCCCAGAACACTGGAAAGCTGTGAATAATTATCATATGGTCTGGTCTTTGTTTTTTGTTTATTCCAAGTCTGTCAGAACTATAATGTTCTTTCTTTTTCAATTTTTTTTCTTTTTTAAATATTGACATTATATGTGAACATATATTTTTATACATTAAAATAAAGTTATCATAAGTTTGTTTGTCCTTTTAAATGCTCAGGTTAGGCAAGCTTGTAGTTTAGGAGGTACTGAAGTGTTTACCATCAGCTTGGAATAGTCCCTTGTGATCTTCCCGAATTTTGTGTGTAGAGCTGTGAATTAAAATCTAATTGTAAATAATCTTTCTAGAAGTCGGTTCTGCACAAATGAGCAGTGGAAATGTCAAGTGGAGAGATCTCTTTTGAGTTGTACAACTTGTCAGATTTTCACAATATTTTATTTTATTACTCTTGTACTCTCATTTGAAGCAAGTGGTAGTTTTGTTGCAGAGCTATACAAATGTGCCAGCAGCAGGGGGAGAGGAATGGAGAATTCTTTGCAATGTGTCTAGTTGGAAATTCCTCTCTTCCAAATAGTGTCCATTATCTCTTTTTCTTTTTGGCTATGTACTTCTGAACTGGCTCCATTTCTAAAACCACCCCTCTGTTGAGGACAGGAATAAGAATTGCCTTTATGGTGGCATCTCATTATCTCTGATCTTTTTATATGGAAGGAAGCCTTCTGATCCATCCTGGGCTGAAAGAACACAAGATCCTGGGGCTTTAGGTTTTGTCTGTTTTTCAGGGCAGAAGGATTGTAATCTGCGGTGTTAATTTACCTTTACTTAGAATGTTGATGTTTCTTTCCCTCTGCACGTATGTATATCGACTTTCAATTACTAGATAAGAAAGCCAGAGATCTGAACCATTGTCCCAAGTTGTCTGCGAAACAAATGTGATTATTTTTTTTTTTTGAGCTATGTAAAAGGGGTAGGGATCAGCACAGGCTGGGATTAGGGCAATCTGGAGTACCAGGTGGGATGCTGAAGCCTGGTGCCAGCACAGACTTGCTATCATTCTCATCATATAATTCATTGATGATCTTGCTAATTTGAAATCCAGTCTGTGTTTTGTTTTGGCTTAAATATGTTCTGCCAAAGGAGTGGTATTTTTTTGTATTTCAACCAGCTGTTGGGCCTGGCTCTAGCAGATGAAGGATGGGTTATTACAGAATGTTCTCCTGTTAGACCTGGCCCAAGTCTTCACCAGAGGACGTAACAGTGTTATGAAAGAGACACCAGGAGGGAAGGAGTGGATGTGAAATCTGTAGACAGATGACTGGTAAATTCCAAATGGAGCAGTATCAGGGGAAAAAAAAAAAAACCAAACAAATCAACCCCCAAAACCCCAATCAGTGTAAGATCCTATAGAAGGTGAAGGTAACATTTATTTACAAATTCTCTAGTAAGCTGGTTCTTGTTCACATGTACCTGTTTTCTACCATATTTCATTCTCTCACACTCTCGTAGTCTAGCACAAAGGTGTGTGCACCGAATTGGTCCCATTTTGGCACAGGTATTGTGTCCCGTCTGTGAGCAGGACACACAGAGCAAGGGATGCTCACTACTGAGACATTGCTACGTCTCCTGGGTTCTTCATGATTGACAATGACAAACTAGCTTTTGGATAGCTGTTGCATGACCTTTAAGAGTCAGTAGTTGTTACAGACTGGCCCTTTGCTTCCTGATCTTCGTTCAGTCTCCATAAACTGTAGGCCAAGCTGTTGCCCATCCTCTCTTTTCCGTGTTGGTTTGAAATGTGTCGCTGTTTTCCCAGTAGACTAACAGGAAAAGCCCATGTGGCAAGCTCCAACCTCGGTGTTATCATCTTATTCTTAGGATGCCCCCTTTTTTTCTGATAAGTCATCTGTGCTGTGGCCTTACCAGGGTGCAGGCTGTCCTGGTACAAACAACTCATTCTTCAAGTTTCCGAGGAACATCTCTCATTATTGACACAGGCCATTCTGTTATCCTCATTTTACTGTTTCTTCTTGCATTTCCTTTCATATTGCTGTCATACAAGTCTTAGGATGTCTGTTACAGTTATGCTTCTGCACCAAAATTCTTGTTTACTTTTATTGTAATTTGGGTATTGAGGCAAATTTCACTCTGATCATGCCACCCCTTTGAAAGAGAGGAGCAGGTGCTGTTGTCCTCTTTTTTTCCCAAATAGTGATTAAACTGACTGCTACAAATTCTCAGAATAGCAGTCTGTCCTGAGAATAATTTGGTAGAGGAAACGGCAGTCAGCTAGAGTTTCTGAGAGTTCCCCCTGCACGTGTGAATGCAGAGTGTGTGCACATTCAGAGGAAACTGGTTTTCCATAAAATAGTGGTGAAGAAATACAAGGAAAGTAAATATATGTTAAGTCTAATTAACTTTATACTGAATATTGCCCCATCTTGCATTTGGAGTATTTCCATGTTTACAGAGCAAACAGGTTTTGTCACTGGTAGCATCCTGTGGCTTTTAGCAATAGTGTTATATAAGTAAACGTAGAGCAAAGTTTAGTCCTTTGATTATATTATAAGCTTTGTTACATCTTCTATAGCATCTTCTTCTGGTGTTAGGGACCATGAAAGATACTATTGTGCCCTCACTTTTTCCTTGCTGGCTTACAAGGGGAAAGTCACAGTTGGGATCTTACTAAGAAGTAAGTTTGTTAAGAACACACCAGGAGTGTGCGAACAGTTAAAAGAATACCTTTAGTAAGAAGCATCATTTGTTCTTTTAAGGGAGAATGATCTAATAATAACTTAAGTGTCAGAAACTTCCCCACATGTATTCTGCCCTACAGTCAGCCTTCATTAGTATGCTCCTGCAGTGGTTATGACCTGTGGGAGTTTTAAAATGACAATGGACTAGGGAGCCCGAGTATTTACACCAGTTAGGTGAGACGCATGTACTGCCCGCTGCTGTGGATGCTGCACAGTGCAGAGTGGTGCTTGGTGGAAGGCTTTGTTCAGCCAAGCAGGCTGACAGCTTGTCTTGGAGCGGCGGTTTCGCTTGTGAATGCTGCGTAACAGGAAACCCTGCACCACACGAAAGCTTATGCCTGCTGCTTTGTGCCGGAATTTTTGTTCAAGGTACAAGCCCCCGTATTTCCCTTCACTTACCAAACAAAACAGTGGTTCGCAAGTAAGATTTAAAATGGGACTGAGTTCCTAGTGCCTGCGCCCAGGCTGAAGCCAGCAGGTTATGCACTCTTACACAAGTGTGTGTCTCTGTTTTCCCCAAGCTGTCAGAGTCATTTCCAGTGGCAAGACAATTGTTTGGTTCTGTTGTGTGACTCTGTGCACAGACTGTTTGATTTACTAGTAGGCTGAGGAACAGAAAGAATAAATTCTCGGCTGGGCACCAGGCCAGGAGTTTTTACTTTGCTGGTTTTGATGTCTCAGCTCATATATTTGTATTGCATTTTCTTTTTACCCAGCTGGGCAGCTAACGCAATTACTGATCACACGGTCTGGTTTTTTAACAAGCTCTACTGTGAATACAGGTTTTCTGGTTACAAGGTACTAGCAGGCCAATGTGGACAAGCAAACTGTATGTATTAAAAAGCAATACTTCTTCTTAAGCATTGTCTTCATTTCTGGTTTTCAATATAGAAAAATAACCACTTCTGCAAATAGTACACTGAGACGGCAAGGCAAACTCCGTAAAGGTCATTCAGCAATCCTGTTTGGAGAAATAAATACTCCAGTGGTCATTTTCTTTCAGATAGGAGGGAGAAAAAGCAGAAGCTTACAACATGAGATTCTCATTAAGTAGTTATGTATGTGGACAAATTCCTCAAACCAGCTTTTATTTAAATGGTGTGGAGGATGTGGTGTACAAGACATAGCATTCATTCTCAGGCTAACTGAATCCAGGTATCCTGTTCCTCTTGGTACAGATTCAAGCATCTTTTCCAACTCTCTGATCTTTTAATGTTCAGTATTAGAAGATATTAGATGTACATCATCCTATGGGAGAGCTATGAATTAGTTGGAAAGCTTGTTTGTTAGGTCTCATTAATGAGCATTTATTTCAGCTGAGGATGGATAGAGAGGGAATGAGGTTTTTGATGAAAGGTAAGTTTCCCAGATCATTTACTTCACTGCAATGAAGCCCGTGTCACTTTTGTCTCTAAAATGCAACCTAACAGGGTGGCACACGTAAGAAGGATATCCCCATTTTATCAGTCTTTGTTCATCATTCCATTGACGTAATGGAATTTGAACATGGCTGTTCCCTATGACTTCTTCATATCTTTGGTGCTTAGAACTTGATTATTAATCAGAAGTATCTCATATTGAAAGTCTCTTAAACTTTTTGACGTAACTTGCTCTATTTTCTTCTTGGCTATGTGGTTATTGTCATTGTATGTAATGGCAAGAAGCAAACATTTTTTTGTATTCTTTTGCTGGAAGTGAGTAGGTATTTAGAGTCTCCATCATTAGCAAAGATTTCAATGTCAGTAGCAGGTACAAGTGTCTGTATTACGAATAATTGATTTCTGATGTGATTTTTTTTGTCTCTTTTCTTTCTTCCTATAGAAAGCCATTTCATCTCCAACTGTATCACGCCTCACAGATACAACAAAATTCACGGGCTCTCACAAAGAGAGGTTTGATCCCAGTGGGAAAGGAAAAGGCAAAGCTGGCCGAGAAGATCTGGTGGATGATTCAGGATATGTATCTGGCTATAAGCATGCAGGCACATATGATCATAAAGTACAAGGAAGCAAGTAAGGCTGAGGGTTTACAAGACAGAGGGAGAAAGAGAGAGGAGAGAGATAATACATTTGTAAGAATGATGTAGATGAATCCCACATGTTTTGGTTATTGTGAAGGCTAAGACTATGTTGTCAAGAAGTTGTTTTCAGGAACTGGAACTGATTTCAACATCTGCTGAGCTACTTGCAGCACAACACCACTTCATTACATTCCTCATGTGTATATTGGCAAAAATAAACATCGGTACACAAAATACATCATTTTGTTGAGCTTTAGACAAAAAAAAAAACCCACAACAAAACAAAATCAAGAGCAGTTATACCACACTTTGTTTTGTCAATTCAAGTAAAAGATCTCAAACATTCCTAAACATCCAGTTGCCCTGAGGATGTCGAAGAGAACCTCTTGAAAAGAGGGTCTTTCATAGCAATTGTTCAGAATAATATCCCATTATTTATGCAGTTTGATTTGACTACTGCTTTGGAACTTTTAAAAAATGTCTTATATGGGATCTGGCACTTTCCTTAAAACATTCAACAATATACTATTGGGGAGTAAGTGGTTGTAATATTCAAGGTGTGAGCCTGTAAATGTCATACACCACTCATGAAAAAACTGAAAAAAAAAAAATCTATTTCTAAGATAATATAAATTCGAAAGTATTTTATGTCAACAGAAAGAGGTGGAAAATACCAGCCCTTACTTTTCGTCCTGTCTATACTTTGTGCTTGTTACTGTGTGTACTGTAGCATGGTTCTGACTGGCTGGATTTGGATGAAGCTGTTGTACTAACCCCAGAGGTGAGGAACAAGACATTACTAAGAAAGTCTATTAAAGCTTTTTGCAGTCTGTTTTCAAGTTTGCACTGCCTCGCATTTGAAATGAAGGGGGCATTAAGCTAATAATGCTTTAAAATATTGATGATGACTAAACACTGCCAATCAGGTCGCTATTTAGTGAATGTTATTATGCACATACATTGACACACGTTCCCTTTAAGCTATAACATATGGAAGGAAAGTTTACAGCCCCTTGCAATAAGGACATTTACAATTAATAGCCATGTAATGAGGTGCACATTGCCCACGAAAATATACTATTATAACTGAGCTACAATTTATGTTGGATTTCTTTCAAGCCAAGGGATTTGAGTCTCTGTTCAGTTCTGCTGCCTAACTTGGGAGTAACAGGATTGGTGGGAACAGCTTTCCAGTGCTAGAGAAGGAGAACCAAGTCCACAGGCTTAAGGCACAGGCAGCTGAGTGTGAGCTGCTCGGGGCCCAGAATGCCAAAACAGCTGAATAAGAATAAAAATAGCTAATTTTTAATTTTGGTTAAAAAGGAGATAAAAGGCTGGTCCAATTTTTCAAGAGCTGAACAAATACCCTAATGTATTAGTCTGCTTCTCTAAAATTGTGAAAGATTTTCAGTATTCAGTTCTGCTTTGCTTTCTCTCAGAAAGAGCTCGTGCACTGATTTTTCGTGTGCGACTCTGAACAAAGGTTAATAAATTTATCACTCCCCCCACCCATATCAGTGTCCCACTCACAGTATGTAAAATCTAGTGAGCAGTGTGTGCTGTCGTGTGCCCTGCAGGTCAATAGTCTGCACTTGGCCAATGTCCAGGAACAGAGCACTAGTTTTCAGCCCTTAAACTGCTCATGTTTTTGTTTTTCTGACATTGAATGGTAGCCTTTCTTGTAACTTTGCTTCCAGTGACCCTTTGAGCCCATACATCAACCTGAAACCAAAACAACAGCAAACAAAGGCAAAGACTTCCTTGTAGACTTAGAGATTTTTGTTTGTTTGTTTGTAATTTATTTTGGGTTTTGTTTTGAAGAGGGAGGGAAGTTTGCCAAAACTCAGCACATGGTCTTGTAAATATTTAAATGGGTTTTTCCATGGTTGGTTGGGAAGATTGTTGATGTGTGTAAGGATGCTCAGGATGAGAAGCATCCAGCTTTGTGAAGGCTTTCCAAGAGTTAGCCATTGTTCTTGAAGAAAAATTGGAATGGAATGAAGGATTATCCACTCCTGTGTTGCACTGGTGACCTGTCACATGCTGAAGCAGAAAATAGCGTACTGTGGTACCAGCCATGGCTAAATTATTCCACCAGTGAACTGTCTAAATGTAGAGAACCACCTTCTACGTCACTGGTGCTCGTGCACCTGAAGAAGAGGCTCCAAGCTCGTCTCGGTTTTTATGAATAAAAAAGCTAAGCCTCTAACCACTAAATCCTTCTGCTAAGTTGCAGGCAAAACTAGTGAGTTCTTCCCATTGACTTTAAGACTTGACTCATAACTCCCTGGTAACTGAAAAGACCTGAACCCAGCTGGGATGAAGGGTGGAGTCCAGTCTACTGCAGAGCCCTTTTAGCACCCTGTTGACCTGGCTGTTGCTAGCTAGCTGCCTTGTCTGGCACATCAGGTGATACTTCACCGGAGCTGCACAGGTGACAGGCTTTCTCAAGTCCCCAAATCCTGAGCGTCAGTAATGCCAGACTGGTGTTGCACAGGAGGAGTGATTGGTTAGGGAGATTTTAAAGTATAATTGGGTTTTAAGTGGCTAGTTCACAGTGTGACAGAAACCAACACATTTAGAAGGCACGCAAAGGAGTTGAGAACGCAGACAGATCCAAGCTGACAGTGACTAGAAATTGAGCTACTCTGTGTGCTTAGAAGAGGCTGATGGAACGAGCTGGGGTTCTGACAGAGTTTACTTTGCATTAGTTGTCCAGTAAAAAATCTCTGCCATGAACCAAAGCACTTTGTTATGGACCTGATGCAAAGTTCTTTGAAATACTTTCAGTGGCATAGTAAGCTTTGAATCAGGACCTGAGAAGATGCTTCAGATAGTAGTATTTTATTTTGAGGAACACTCGTCTTTCTTCTTGTCTTTCTTCTTGTCTTTCTTGTCTCTCTTCTTTTGTTTCTACAGTTGGATAGTTCATTCTGATATGATGGTGACAAAGGGAAGTGTGGCTGGAAAGGCAGTACTTTGGAAAGATTTTTCCTTTTTACTACACCTGGTGTGAAGGATAAGGGCTATGAGTAAAAGCACCATATACAGCTGTGTATTAGGGGTTCAACCACCTACTTCAGCTCTTTTCCGCTAATATCTGTAAGAAATTAAAAGCCAAAATACTAGCTTGAACATTAGCCATAAGTTCTAGGCCTGCTTGGGAATGAGGCAAAGTACATTTTCTTGATCATCTGCCATTCCCTCAACTCTCAGGACAGCAAGTACAGCCGGTACCTCAGAGACGAGGGGAAGGAATAGCTCAGGAGGTGCAGGAGGTGTGACCCATTTTCAACCCTTGACGTGTTGTAGAGCATACGCTC